ATCCGAGAAGCTAAATGTTTGCCTTTCAAGATGTTCTTGCAGCAAATATCCAATGGAACAGGCCTAACAAGAGGGAGGCGCCAAGTGCCAGGAATATTAATCCTAGAAAGAGGGTGGATCGTATCAAAGCCAAAAAACTCAAACTACGGCAACACCCAAACTGGTTTCCTCTATTTTGGCTTATTAGACAGTAATGCCTGATGAGAGACAATATGCTCATTGTCATGGACCTACAACATACAAGGAGTCATATTTAACTCCAAAGTGCATGGATGGCATAAAAATGCAAGTGAGTATCTGAACAAACACGTAGTGCGTGTATTGGTACGCGATATGGTCATGGTATCTGTTAAGGTTAAAAGGAAATGAATAAAAAAAGAGTCAACCCAAAGTCTGTAAACACCAGCCATGGCTTCAACTAAGTTAGGAGCAAATTACTACAATGACCAATTGTCGGAGAATAAGATACATTGGGGTCCAACGATTCAAGGAGCACAACGACCAACTGGAGATGGCCTGCACTACATCAATGTCAAAATGATAATATAAAGAAAGCAAATGTTACTTTAAGCCAAGATCGCTAAACACTAAAGCATCCATCAAGATCCATTAAATATGACGTGCCTAGCACGTGATATTTCTGAGAACAGACATGCCTAAGATGTTGGACATTCCTGATATGAGATAAAGATGATGAAAGGGAAACAACCACGTAAAATTCCTAGAAGTTTTTCATAAATTGTCCCAAGAACGATGTTTGTTACTGCATGCAAATGTTGCAGCAATGGCTTTTCTTTAAGGAAAGCTGTAGTATAATGGATCAGCAGGCTCCTCTTCTAGGGGCAAGGATTTGATTATTGGGGGGGGGGGGGGGGTAAAATCACTTACAAACCTTCACAAAATTGCCTAAACCAAAACTGTACAGTAATTCAATGCTAACTTGTTTGCACATAAATATTTATGACAGTCACCTTGGCTCCTTACAATAAATTTTGAATATATTAATCTTCAGGTCTGCATTAATGCAATACCTGCAAATCAAAACCTGCACATTTTCAACAAGCCAACACAGAACATGCTAATTTATTCATTCATTTCCATGAATTTGCATATATTACAATATCGATCCAGTAATTGAAAACAAATGAATGCGAAGACTGATTTTAATTCACGGTTTCACAATCTAACAAGTTTATATTTTTCCCTGGCTGTCTTAAGCAATTGTCTCGATAACACTGTGGAAAGTATAAATAATTATAAATTCACATGACAGTTTGTTGCTAGGTGATGTCTTCAACACAATGAACCATGATGTCTCCATGGTGACAGCTTAACATCAAGGCCAAGGGGAGAAACAAATCTATGGTGATACTGTCTGAATCAATAAAGGCACATGTTGCTTCGCTTCCCAAGCATTTGTGTTTGCAGTTATTTTTTTGGGAAAGGTTCATTTCAATTTTATTTAATCTGACTTGAAAGGCTTTGAAAGCAATTCATTTCATTAACAAACATCTGAGAAATAAATGATTACTTGGCTGGTTTTTTTTTGAGAAACAAGTTTGTATCAAATGTCAGCCCAAATATTGCCTTGAATTTGAGACTCAAACTAATTTTAGTGGAAAACAGCGAATGTCATAATAAAATCTACAGGCCTTGATGAAATTACATTTTCTTTACTTATGCAGCTCATTCAGTATATTTTAGAATGGCAGAACCGACACATTCTCTTGTTGAGGCTTTGCTTAAATTGTTAGGAAAATTAAATTATTGTACATAATATCAAGTACATGTTGTTAATTTTGGAAAGTTTTCAAATGAGAAAGTAATGTCATGTATTTCAAATCTTTGTAGCATGACTTGTATGCATTCTCCCCATTAGTCGATTTTGTTGGCAAAATCAAGGTTTGTTTTGGCAACATCCTGTCACTGCTAGCAAATATGCCACTGCATGTATGAATGGCACAAATTAGTGTCAGATGGTGTCTAACTCCATCTACTTCAAACGTGACGTCTCCCCCCCCCCCCCCATATTCTACTTTACAGAGTGGTACATATAAGGCCAAAAAAAAAATATTCGGTCTCTGGTCAGACCAAAGTTCCAGACTTAACGCAGCCACGCGGCTTCTTTTTTTTTTTTTTTTGCTTTTTTTTTTTTCTTCAAGCTTGGATTGTACAGACAAGGTGAGGTACTGTTTTGCTTTTTTGGTGTCCTCATGTACATTGGTGTCCTTCATAATTTGCCTTGGTGCTTTCGATCATGCCTTGGTGTAATTTCCCATTCCTTGGTGCTCTTTGGTAAAAAAAAATATGAGGAGGTGCGGAAATAGAGGGCGCTGTTGGAGCTACCGCGGAACATTTTGGAAAAAAAAAAATCGACGCGCGCACTGACCAGAGACCGACTTATTTTTTTTTTTGGCCTAATGCCAGCAATATTGTGATTATACCCCGTTCTCTGCTGCACTCTTTCAAATGCTCATAAACCTATGAGACCTAATGTTGTATGACATCAGCGTTAAACAGGACAATTTTTAAAAATGCAAAATTATTTAATGTTCAACCATTATAAACAGAGGCACATCTGAACTAAGCAATGCATATCAATAACTGATACTGCTTAGATTTTATAGAATTTCAATCAATATTGGTTCTCTTTAAAATATGATCAACAACGCTTCCCTAACAAAATGGAATTGAGTCCATCGTCTTAGTAACAACAAAAAGGTAATAAAACTCTTGCAGCGACATCATTGATCTTAGTCCAATCAATACCCAATAACACACGACTACATACATGTACTGCTTCCTTTATAACCAAATGTAACACCCATGTAATATCTTCCCGTTGAAGTGAAACATGAGCGTTTGAACAAAATACCTTGTCATTGAAGCTAGATGTAAAATTACCGGCTCCCTGTACTGCGATGGGCATCTTTGTTGTCGTGGAGATTGGGTAGGATTTGTCCGCAAGCGATATCAAAGGCAAGTTTCCTTGGACGAATGTGAATGATCCCGCACCGGGAGAGTACTTAATGCATTATTGAAGGTCGAGTCGGTTTAATACAGCCAGAAAACAATGCATCGCGACCGTGAGACGATTTTTACCAGTTTATGACTGTTAAGGACACCAGGACTATTGAAGCTGACTTTGTGCTTGATATCAATGTCACAGCAACTCCGCAAATGAAAACAGCAAAGTCTGCAAAGAAAACTCTGCGTGCATCTCGTCGTATCCCGCTGTGTGCATCTGCTCGCTTCCCGACTAATGCAACATCCACTGGTTGAGGAATTAAGGAGGCAATTAAGACGTAAAATTACACTCCACTGCTGATTATATCTCAACTAAAAAAAAAGAAGAGGCACTCAACTGATGATGATGTAAAGCCTTTCCATTAGACACGTAATGAGATAGTGACATGGAGTCATGTGTGTATGATATGGTATTAGCAGCATTGCTCTACCGATGGGCCCATCAACACAGCTAGGCATCCTGCAATGTGAAGGCTTTTAGCATCGTAAACAGGACACTGCCTCCATTATTGACGGCTATTACCAGTCACCTGTATTTTTTTTTTCTTTTTACTGGTTGCCACATTTACGCACACATGCAAGTGATGGGTACGTCCGTGAATGCACTCCATTAATTTAAAAGTCAGGAAGTTGAATCTATAGCACTGATCGCTGTGACATTTACTGGCCAGGTGCAGGGAATAGCCTGTCCTTAATTGAACAGTAAACGATATTCATTATCGTTCAAGCCTCGTCAATCCAGCTCCATGTACGTGTACCGTCCGTGAACCAACTCACTATATACTGAATGGTTTCAAACAACAAAAACCACTGATAAATGACCCACTTGTCCTCAGAGGAAAGAATAACAATAGAAATTATTATTACGGGAAATGGTAGGTTAGGGAGACATTCCCATAGGATTGTGCACACAATTTGTCCAACTCTAATGATCCCTCACCTCAATTTTCCCTTTTCCTACCCCCATGAGTTTTGGTATATTTATATTCTGGACCAGGGGCAATTGATCTAGCCTATTTGTGACAAAACAATTTTGCCTCTAAATAGGAGCTGTGACATTAGGGAGACATTGAAATGTCCCCCTAATGTCCGGTGTCTCCCAAAGGTTTAACTTGTGACAAAAAAATTGTCTCCTTAAGGGTACATTAACATGAATTGACTTGATTATAAGCTTTATAGTTGTGAACATATTTCAAGAAGTTAGGATAGATTTGCTTGGCATATTGTTATCTGACAGTGCAGTTTTATGGAACTGCCCATTTCTATATGAAGTACACTACAGTATGATTGGAATCAACCAACAGCTCATTAAAATAAACCAGCATAACCCAATATTGGGATACACTGAAGAGGAAACATGCCATACCTTGAAGAGAAATACATGTATATATCATACCTTGAAGAGAAAAAGTAGCCCAACCATGTACATGTACATTGAACATGTAGATTATTGTCCATCATGTCCATGTTGATATTAATGTATTGTACATTGTTCAGTGTATTTGATTGTAATACACTGTATTTCAAATGTATTAGTTACACACAATGGTGAGTGCTTTCCAATTTAACTTCTGGTTTCACCTTTTCCTTTGGAATAATTCTAGAGCCTAATCATATTTTCTCTCCATTGATGAATATCAACCATCAAAATGGCAAAACCCACACCAAGAAAACTGCAAAAGAAATATACATGTAGGGTACATGTACATGTACATGTAAGTATGTACAAACGTAGTAATGAATGCATGACCGCAAGCATCTCTGCACGCATATTTACATGGTTAAATCAATACACATTAAAATGGGCATTTATATGATCATAGCTTAAATATACAGCAATGAATAAAATAGAATGTGACTGCATGCATGTCCAATGTAAGATGAACAGGGCTGGGAGTGGGCTGTGGGGGTACAAGAGGTACCAAAAACATATCTGGGTATACAAAAATACAAAATAATTCATAGCACATTACCTCGCTTGGGGACTTTTTCAGTGAAAACATGACGTTAGCGTCGATGCAGCAGGGCTGATGATGACTGCAGGCCAATCGACGCAGGGATGTCCGAACCCTCAGCCAACACTTTGAGAAAAGCTGTACCATAGACGATGACTGTCTGGCTGAAGCGCCGTCACCCCCGATACCAGACTCAAGACAAAAACTAAACACTTAACCAGTTTGGGTTGCTATGGCGAACGGCTGATAAACTTCCAAGCGTTGAAGAGTCAGATGACTCGTTCAAAGTCTGACGAAATTGGTCGAGATGATGCAAACTTTGGTTTTTTAAGACAGCTCTGATATGAATCCAGATGAGGTTTCTCCAGGTTGTTGATCTGAGATTAAGTTGCTTTCTGGGAAAGGCTTTCTGGGAAAGGATTTCTGGTGACTGGAGAGGCGATGGGCTGCCGAACCACAAATATGACAAGGTACTTGAATGAACTTCACAATCTTGAATCCAAAGATCCGCACCATTAGGCAAACACAAACCTGGCACATTGGAATGCTGCTATAGAGTGACTAGGCTCACTCCGAGCAGCACGACAGCATAAGAATGTCACTCGAAAAGAGCTCAAACAAAAAATGTATTGACATTATACGTGTGCAAACATGAAATCTCTGCATATGAACAGAAAGTCTCCAACATAACTGCAGTAACCCAACAACCTGGTAAGTAGTTTATGTGTATCATATATCCCCACTTGGATCGACTTTTCCCTACTCAACATGCCCCCTTTTGTGCATAATGTCAACAGATAAAGTGATATTGTGTTTTCCCAGACAGATCTGAGCCACAACAGCACCCGTCAGCAAATATAAATAAAGGGCACTTAAGACTGCCAAAAAAAGAAAACCAAAAGAAAACCAAAAGAAAACCAGCCAAGATATTTTTAAAATCCTTACCATTGGTCAAAGTCTTAATTGAACATGAAATTACAGGAAACATCATGAATATCATTTTGTTGTGTTAACAATTACTAGTCATAAAAGCCTTCAAGATTTCTTCAGTGATTTTAAAGTGTTCAATTCAGAGTCTGCCGCAAGTATTAGACCAAAGACTTCGAAGCAACCTGCAGAAATGTTCCCACATTCTACTGATATACGGCCCAATAAGAACAGACAATTGGATGCTTCAAGGAATATCAAACTAACACGAATCCAAACTTTGATTTCAACAATTCTTTAAGCTTTTCGTTACCAACTGTTATGAAGAAAAAAAAGAGTTTTGCACTTGATAAAGATATCCACAGAACATTGGATTGTATCGCTGAAAAGTAAAATTGAAGGCAATATTACTCAAAGTAGGAAGCTGAGTCACTGACGATCCCAAATCAGTTGTTATACATAGACATGAAGCAGTAAAATCCTGTCGACGAACATCTTACTCGCTGATGAAATTTATCCGACTCATCCTCAAACTTACATGTATGACTGATGCTCCTGATGCTCCTAACTAGAATGACTTTATATCAAACATGTGCAAACACTCACAAAATCTCAATATGGACGCTGCATGTTGTACACAGGAGCATTAATTTCCACGTAATAAATCCCTTTGGACATTAGCAAAAATGAGGATGAACTTTCACTAAATCATCAGCATAGTTTTCTTGTAAAGCAAGTACTGGTTTCATTCCTTGCAGAAAATGATATGCTGACATTCTTGAGTTCAACAGATGCCCAAGTCTTTCAGTAGGCGAGTCACGACTGTCTTATAAATCCTGTCTCCGGTGGTAATCCAAGCCTGCTGCTTCCTCATCCGACAGGCAAGAAGGAATGTGAAGAAATGATGAAAGCAAATCTGTGCTTGAATCAAATATCAAGGAACGGACAGCGGAGGTATTCAGACACCTCAAAGAGAGTGAAGTAAATAAAATGACGATCAGTGTCGGACCTCTTAACAATCCTCCCAATGGAGGTGGGATGAAGAACTCAAAAACGCTGTCGATGGGGAAATTCTTGACCCAGATTACGTTCAGGATTCCATCCCATTCCAAAGCGATTCAGAAACGGTCTAGCGTATAATTCAGATGATCTGGTTCGTAGCGACAGGACAACCTATCTGCCTGTCTCTGTCTCTTGCTCGCTCTCACTGTCTTCGCCTCTTGAGAATAGGCCGTTCCCTCCTCTTCCGTGCCCGGAATGAGTGCCCAATGAATTCCGTGGGATGGATTGATTATAAACACTCGCCAGCAAAGCTTTCAAGAAGCATGCATTCACTCTTTGTTTCTGGTGAGGGCCTTGCGATCCATCTTCTGTTTTCGTGCACTTTCCATTGAGTATCAACAACTTAATGCTCCTTGTCATATTTCACATGCATGTATTCATGGCTGCATTGTTTTAAAGTACAGATCCTTGCTTTTTTGCTTCTAATGGGATTCGTTCTGATCAAAATGTCCAACTTTGTATATCAATTTAAGCAGAACATTCTACTAAACATCCTCTGTAAAGATGAACCATTTCGTGGTCAGTTGATGTTGTTTCTTTCAAGCGCACAAATTTAACCACATATGCTTGTTGATTTCGAAAGAAAATTGTACTGACAAAAACATCTCGAGTTGTACGCAGCAGAGCAGTTGAAGCAGAATTTGCATTTCTAGTATCCCGCTCTAAGAGGACCAAAGTAGTCTCAGCCAGTCTCCACTCTCAAATGGCCAAATCGACGAAGACAGTTTCCTTCAGGCACGAAATTGGCCCAAAAAATACTCCTTTAACAAACGCCAAGTCCATGCTTTTTGGTCTCTGTGGGATCGATCCAATCCTGTTACTCCTCGTCAGTTGTTAAATCAACCTGCTTGGATGGTTCATTAGTTGCCGTCAATTCCTCTGGATTGAGGAGCTTTCCACAAGCCTGGCAGTCCCTGGAGGAAGCTGACCTGTTTCATATTACTCAGGCTTGCTACTTAGAGATAATTACTTCTTCTTTTTATAACTGCATTGCTGCTGACTCTGAAAATAGCACCATCTTATAAATGAGTATTCAGCCTGAAAGATGACAAACATTTTTCCATTGTTTCATTTTAGTTCAGGCAAAAACAGAGATTTTTTTCTGGTGAGATTTTAAGCAAATAAATCATCCAAAAAAGACTAAGCTCATTAGCATCAGCTCGCTACCAACATGTGTGACTTCAACTCTATCACTAAAATACAGTTTCAACAATTGTTGAACATTTTGGATTTAAACCCACTGGAAACCTTTTTTTTCTTCAAAAACTGGACAATGGTCATTTTTTATTATAGGTGTGGTTTCAAAACAACTTGGATTGGACAGTAGAAAACACACATTGTCCTCATGCTTTGACTTTAACACCCCGCGCAGTTTTTCTTGACTAATCAGCCTTTACGGCAAACTTTTCCAAGAAACCTGTTTTTTCTAATAACACAATACTGCACATCACAGAGGCATGTTGAGAAAATGTTAAGTACTTACATCAGACAGCATAGTTTAAAAACATCAAACCACTTCTGGGTTTTTTTCGTGGCTAGTCATATCCCACTTTCTTTGAAATGACCACACAACTAGAAAGATGACACTTGCATCAATCTTTTCTGAAGCATAATCACAACACTTGATAGGAAAATAGATTTCTAACTTCTATCACCGGGTAATCACAGGGGTAATCCAAAGGTCTTCCAAATGTTCCTCCGTTGAAGACTTTCAAATCTGAAGTGATAAGCAGGATTGCAGAGCTTACACTATTATTTGTACCACTAACAAAGGCCTCCAAGATTTCCCAAGAAGAGATGATTCACATATTCCTCAGAGGAAAATAATGGTTGCTGAACTCATGACGAAATGACGGAAAACAGCCAACGTCCAACAGATTACTAAAGCACAGTCTTTGTGTGCTGATTCCACGCCTGTTATTCCTGCAGAGAAATTCTTCACACAGAGAGGTTGGGCCAGCATAAGAGTGCAGTAAAGTACAGATCTAGAAAGCAGGCGTGCGTCAGACCGAAATCAGAGGCGATTTCCATCCATAACATTCAGGCTTACTGGCTCCGTGTGAATAAAATATTTCAGCGAGAGGAGCCTCTAAACATGACATCAATGAAGGACAACGGATATCCAGTGACATTTAACATTCGGAGTGGAGCAAGCCCTGTCTTCTATCGCCCCACAATGAAACCTTACGACTCATAATTAGACACAAATTAGATCACTGACTGCTTTTGTGAGAGAGTGAGACACTCATTGCGATCGGCGATGCAGCCTCTCTCCTTGTGAAGATTCTTTTTACCAGGTCTGCACAACCGTCAAGTATTCCGCCTCAAGTGATGAGATCAAATGTATCAGACATGCAATTCTTCAGCTTGGGCACAGCCCGACAGATGTTTAGTTGAAAAAAATTGATGAAGATTGATGAAAAATGCTGCATGCGTGCACACACAAACATTCCCTTTGCTGTGTAATCATGATGGGCCTTTTGGGAGAGAAAATATATTATGACGTCTGGCTCAAACCCTGTTACTCAATCAACATCTGGCGAAACGTGGAGGCTTACACAATTTCCGAGATGATACACATGACATGGATTTGTTGTACATCAGAAAGCACTTGCAAAGCCATCGCCTGATCCACCAGGAGAAAATACTGCATTCCAATCTAAAAGTCTGAGATAAATTGAATAGAAATACCAAGAGATATATCAAAACTCCATTCCACAACCTGCATGCGAAGAAAAAATCGTGCGAAAGAAATCAATATATTCCTGAAGGCAAAATGGTAAATCAGACATTCCCAAATTATTAACTACTCTTATCTGAGTATACAGTGTTTAAACGTTGCTGAAGGGCAAAAGGTAGTATTGATTTACATCACCCCGACGCAAAATTCCATCTTATGAATACTCTGATTGTTATTCTCTTATTTTGTATTCAGTTAATATTCCCCAACAATGTCATTTTAAAAAGTTTCATTATTTATCTACAAGGCAGGCAGTCGAACTTTAATACTTTCTGCTCCAATCTTTACTGCACAACTACAGGAAATGAACCGGTGTCATCATATGCTGTCATAACAAGCAGATCGCCACTCAAACATCCAACAGAAGTCGGCGATTCCATCCTCCAGGGTAAAATAATGAATGCATTTCAGCCTTGTCGTTATCTAACGCCGTCGCACAAATTAAATCAGCTTCCCAAAATTGAATTCAGAGACAGAAATACAGAGACATCATAAAGAGATCATCTAATTAAATGAGCACGAAAGACCATCACTGAAACACCTTCCACACGACTGATCATGGCTTCATGCATGCATGGATTTTATAACGATCAGTACCTCAGCTCATTTGACGTCTATAAAAAAAACATGAATATTAGGAAAACCCTACAAAGTCCCCCCTGACACAATTGCAAATGAGGTTTTTAACGACATGCCGCCGGGCACAGCGCATTATGCAAAGGCAGAGAGAAAAAACGTTGATGGTTTTAAAGCAGATTTGAGAGTTCAGGATCCGTTTACATCGA